GGGTTGGGCGCTTTGCCGAATGTGACCCCAAATATAAAAATTGCGCAAAAGTGGGGGGTGGGCGCTTGCCCGGGCATGGGCGCTAACGCGGTCGAGTACGGTATACATGTACATACATTTACACAGGTTGAATGAGTTAAGGGTTGGTGTAGATCCAGAAAAAGTTTGTTGTTAGACAATGTCTTTATTGTACTATATCTATTGATTTTGTATTTGTTATTACCGAAAACGATTGTAGTTGATACATTTTTTTCTTGCTGAATTAAAAAGTAGACCGCCTAAAATTTCATTACAATGTCACCCACTGTCATTTTTCTCCCAAAAAAATCACATTAACAAACCTAATACGTCAAATACTTTTTGTTCTATTTTATTGGTAACGAAAGTATATTCTAAATGAAGTTTCAAATAAAAACGAACACAACTGCATTGAGTAGCAGCAAATGATGATGGTTGCGCAATCCGGTCATGCTGCATTTCCCAATTGTTGATTATCACCTAGTAATGATTATAATAACATACAAAAAATAAATTTGTTGAATTTCATCGTAAGCAAATGATTCCGGTCACCCTGTGCGATTTCTTGGTCCCATTTTATTATTTTTTAAAACCCAAACTGCCATTTAACGGCCCAGGGCGAATTGACGGCAGAACTCGGTAGTAGCATTCATGCACAGCTCATTAGCATAAGCTAAGAAATCAAATATCTTAGCCCATGCTAAGAAAACTTGCTTGAAAACAGACTAAGAAATTAATTCAGAAAGTTTATTCTTAACAAGTTCTTTAGTAGGGCGTTTCTTAGCCTGTGCTAACCACTGTTTACTTCTGTCTATGATCGTAATTGAGTCTATCTGCAAACAAACAAGATTAGCTTGAAGCCTGTACTGATTGCTAAGTATGGTATTGATTCACTTGATTAGATAATTGGTTGTGGTGGTAAAGCTGCAATGATTTCACAAGCAAAACAGAAAGAATGGGAGCTTAAAGAAGCACATAGGATGCGAAAGGTAAGTACGCATGTATATGGTCAATACATTTACTGACATATCACTGCTTCCAATCTGACAAATCACTGATTCCAATCTGACAAATCACTGATTCCAATCTGATAAATCACTGATTCCAATCTGACAAATCACTGATTCCAATCTGATAAATCACTGATTCCAATCTGACAAATCACTGATTCCAATCTGACAAATCACTGATTCCAATCTGACAAATCACTGATTCCAATCTGACAAATCACTGATTCCAATCTGACATATCACTGATTCCAATCTGACATATCACTGATTCCAATCTGACATATCACTGCTTCCACCCTGACATATCACTGCTTCCACCCTGACATATCACTGCTTCCACCCTGACATATCACTGCTTCCACCCTGACATGTCACTGCTTCCACCCTGACATGTCACTGCTTCCACCCTGACATGTCACTGCTTCCACCCTGACATATATCTGCTTCCACCCGGACATATCACTGCTTCCTCCCTGACATATCACTGCTTCCTCCCTGACATATATCTGTTTCCAATGTGACATATCTCTGCTTCCAATCTGACAAATCACTGATTCCAATCTGACAAATCACTGATTCCAATCTGACATATCACTGATTCCAATCTGACATATCACTGATTCCAATCTGACATATCACTGATTTCAATCTGATGTTATCACTGCTTCCAATCTGACATATCACTGATTCCAATCTGACGTATCACTGATTCCAATCTGACGTATCACTGATTCCAATTTGACGTATCACTGCTTCAAATCTGACATCCCATGGGCAATTTAAGACTTGTGTAATTTTAATAGTTGTTTTATTTCAGGTACCTCTACCTGGTAAATGGGAGGAGAATCCAGACAAATATTTATTGGAAATGGGTGGTGTCAAATGCAATCATGCTGAACTAATTGGAAGAGATTAATTCCCCACACACAAATATAGTGTTGCTATGTGGAACAATCAAATGATAATAACATGTAATGTCTACAACATCTTTTTTTATTTGAGTGACTAAGAACTATGCTTTCATTATCTCCTCAGATTACTTAAAAGTATTTTATTTGTTGTCTTGTCAGATTTTATTATATTATGTGACAGATTTCTAGAAAATGTAATTTTATATTTATTTTTACAAAGATCAATAATTTTTTATCAAAATGGTTCTTTGTGAATTGTACTTGAATGTAAACATTACTACTATACAACTGCGGTTAAGTATCTATTTACCATTTTGAGTTTTAGGAACTAGTGTGTATTATTATTATCCCTCATAAGTTATTGAGATTTAATCTTTATTCATGATTTTTAGTATTACTTATATCCTCCATCTTTCCACTTTTTATTTGTCGCCATATTGTACCAATAACATAGCGGAACATAATTATCATGATGTGTGTGACCTTTTCAGGTTGTTGAACAAAACACAGACAAGGGTGTATTAATAAAGGATTATTTAATTATTTACATTACCTGAGTAATATATGAGCAAGCAGTTGCTCTAAAAAAACATTTACTTTATTTTTTAATTTGCAATCATTTTCAGATAAAGAGTACAACATTGTTGTTGTTGTTGTTTTTGTTTTTGTTTTCAGGGGTGGGGGATGGGCGGGGTGATGATTGAGTGGGTAAAAAAGTTTCTGTGCAATATGAGGTATATGAATGATATTTCAATATATGTATGATTTGTAATGGATTATGTTCCCAGGTTGTCAGTTAATTTTAAAAATATCAGTTGTATGGGTTTTTTTTACCTCAGATTGATTGATTCTGTCTGTAATAATGTAGTTAATTATTTTGGCTTATTAATCCATATTTTTAGTATATCTTGGGATTAAGCCATGTTTTATGTAATTTATGTGATATACTGTCAGAGAAGTATTCTAAA